TTTTGTATTATGGTATCTTTTGCTGTTGAAATAGAAACTGATTTTAGATATTGGCATTTTAATGTGAATTGGTTTCTAAGATTACTTCAATCCTGCTAGTCAGTTGAAAGTGGATCTTGGAGGGGAAAAGTATGAAGAACCATGAAGGATCAAGTAAGAAGTTGGTGGTTGGGCATGATGGCTCATGCCTGTAATCCTAACACTTTGGGAGGCTGAGATGGAAGGATCACTTGAGGACAGGAGTTTGAGACCAGCCTGAGCAACATAGTGAGAACCTATCATTACAAAAAATAAGAAAAAAAAAAAATATCGAGGTATAGTAGTGTATGCCCATAGTCCCAGCTACTTGGGAGGCTGAGAAAGGAGGATTGCTTGAGTCCAGTAGTTTGAGGTTGTAGTGAGCTGTGATCTCGCCACTGCACTCCAGTCTGGGCAATAGCGCAAGACACTGTCAAAAAAGAAGTTGGCAAAGATAAATAAGATTTATCTGTGTCTTAATTTTTCTTAGCGGAGCCACTCATTGTTTGGACTGTATTCTGCTGCCATCTTCTGTTTAGACGTGAAAATTGCAAGATCACGTTTAAATTGAGGCACCATTCAAGGAGAGAATAGAGGCTAATTGTTCAGAAAAATAAAGAAAAATTCCTCTTTAAAGCTTTGAGATTATCCAGCTGTTATCTGATTGCTGACGTAAATAATATAGACCACCTGGATTCAAAGCAGGACACTTTGGCGTGGCTGGAGAAGGGGGTGATGGATGTAGACGGATAAGTCATGACGGTGCTGTGTAAAGGAATCTGTTTACACCTTTTCAGTTAAGAGAACAGAGGAAAACAGAGCCCCAGCAGGAACATGACCCAGAACAGCAAGTTTAGATATACTGGAAGATAGAGACAGGGAGATGTGGGGTGAGGGCAGGTGAGATGTTGTGCAAGGGGGCTACAGGTAGACCTCCCAGTGCAACCTGGGCAAGCATGGGAAGGCTTTCTGAGTTTGAGACATTGAAGTGGACCATTTCGTAAGTTCTTTGGCTACCTTGATGGCTACTCAGTTCCTGGGCAGCTGACAGTCCTTAGGTCCACTGCCCTCATCAAATCACACCTGGTATGTGGTGTTTAGTTCTGGGCATTCTTTGTCAAAAGAGGCATTGATGACACGGAGACCATCCAGAACTTTACTGTGCACACATATCGCTCTGGGATTTTGTAGAAATGCAGATTCTGGTTCTATGGATATGGGGCAGCTGAGATGTCTAACAAGCTCCCACATGATGCTGATGGTGCTGGTCCCAGGGCTGCACTTAGAGTAGAGAGGAGAGAGAGAGAGAGAGAGAGAGAGAGAGAGAGAGAGAGACGGTGATGGGTCAGAAGTCCAGGTCAGGATTAGTTGGAGGATCCTCAGATCCTATATCAGTCAGGATTTTCCAGAGAGACATAACCAATAGGAGATATATTTATAGAGATGTTAATATATGCGAGGGGATTTATTAGGGGAAATGGCTGACATGATTATGGAGGCTGAGAAGTCCCACAACTGTCTGCAAGCTGGAGACCCTTGGATACCAGCAGCATGGCTTAGCCCAAGTCTGAAGGCCTGAGAACCTGGGAGGCCACTAGTATAATGTCTAGAGTTCAAAGGCCAGAGAACCTGGAGTTATGATGGCCAAGCTAGGGAGGTGGAGGGAGGTGAGAGTGTAGTTTGCTTGTTCTTTGTTATTGTTCTGTTTGGGCCCCCAGCCATTTGGATGCTGCCTGCTCACATTGAGGGCAGATCTTCCCTGCTTGGTCCACTCAGACTTACATGCCAGTCTCTCCTCTGGAAACACCCTTACTGCCCACCCCCCAGTGATGCTTTGCCAGCTCTAGGTATTCCTTAATCCACTCAAGCTACTTACAGTTAACCATCCCAGATGCTAATTTGTAGAAACCAGAAAGCAATCTGGGGATTTTGCTGCTTGTTTCCTATCTCGTGGGGGTTCGGGGGGGTATATGTCCTCATTCAGGGACATTCCAGAGGGTAGATTTAGAAAACGGGTGGGAGTGGAATTCCAAGTCAACATAAGGGTGGATCTCCTCACAAGTTAAGCTGGCCATAAATGGGATGGAATACATGGACTGCATGAAGTTGTGGAGTCTTTCATTTTGCGATTTCATTCAGGCATGAATGACAGTCTGGTAGGAAGATGTTTTAGACAAGTTTTCTGTTTGGGTGGAGGTTTGAATTTGATGGTCTCAGAAGTCCCACAGATTCTAGGAGGAGGAATCATTCCAAGAGAACATCAATCACTTAATTTCAAGGATTAAGATAGGAACTATTCTGAAGCCAAGAATATGAGGTACCTGTTGAAAAAAATAAACCAAAAAACTTGTACAGTGTATGCCCTTAAATGTAATTAAGCTGCTTATGTAGGTGAAATAAATGATAACACTGAAGAATATTAAATAACTCCTGACAACAGAAGTTGGAGACAGAAGAATTAAAAACACTGAGCAGTTTGGAGCCACTTCCTGGAAGGGGCAAATGACACCACTGATCTCAACCACCCCTGGGTTCCGCTCATGTGATTGCTGATAACTCAACAAGAGACTCAAAGAGAAAAGCTGAACTATGAAGAGACAACAGGAGGCATGATATATTTTTAGACAGCCCTAAAATAATTTAAAAACAGATTTGACATTTTGAAAATATATCCATCAGTATCTGGATATTTAGCATAATAAATTTTCAAAGTAAAAGCCCAAGTTTGCAAAACATTTAATTTGCTACTGCCTCAGTGGAACCAAGTTTTGGAATTGGGGGTCTCCATGAGGAAGGGAATGTTTCAGATGTTTTGTGATAGAAATACACATCTTACTTTGGTATGTTACTTTTAATGCTGATCATTTGGTTGGGAATGTTTACACATATTTGTGAGGGACATATTTTTTTCAGAAATTACCCAGCAAATGTGATTAATGAAGATAATCCGTCTGGTAATTCTAGGCACCACACTATTTTGTTTTCCTTCCCTTCCAAACTAGATTTTCTAGCCTAAATTATTCTCATAATTACCCGGTGGTCCCTTTTTGGGCTATGTCTGTCTCTGTACCCATATCAAACTAAATTTCATTTTAGTTCTAAATTTATGGCCTTCCATTTGGTTAGGTTAATTATGGAGACATTGATTAGATTGTCTGGTGGTGACTCAGGCTCAGTAATTAAGATACATGCTGCTTATAGAGATGTAAGCTCACTGGCAGGAACCATAGCAGGTGTGGAGAACTTATTCTGACCTGGAAAGACTGGGAGATGGGTGCTCCCCCTGCCATTCTGGACTTTGATGGGGCACAAGCCCCTCATTGCTACCTGCCCCCGCAAGCTGCTAGCAGCATTGGGAACCTTTGTCCAGTTCCAGTAGAGGTGTGATGGTGTGTACCTGCAGTCAAGTTGATAAATCCTCCTCTAGCTGTGGTGGCACCAGTGAGTCTCTTACTTGGAAAAGATTGTCCAGGTTTGTCCAAGTAACTTTTCGAGTAATGGTCTGATTAACTGCTTAGTTCACCTTTAGTCTGAGCAATCAGCTTCTGTGATGAGGTGCTGAACAGTTGTTCTTAGATATTACTTGTATGGGTGCTAGCTAATATTGAAGGAAGCCAGAGTTTGATTTGTGCCTGATTATTTAACCTCTCCCCAAAGTGGAAAACTGATTCCATGGCATGGAGTACCAATGCATCTTTTACTTGCCTCAAGATATGGTGGGTTTGCTCCTTCATTGTTTGCTTGTTTAATTCTTTTTTCATGTGAAATATAACATACCTTTAGTTTTATTATTTCTTGCATAGTGACCTAAGTGCTTGCTGAGCTTGCCTACCTTTTGAGATTCATTTCTTTTAGGTTAAGACCCAACTTTTCCTAATGACCATCATCTTATGTGCAAATACTTTGGGGGTGCCAGAGGACAGGATATACTAACTTGACAGTGGGAACTGGTTTACCAGACATTGGAGAGCCAGTCACCTGGACTTGTTTGAAGGAGTAAGACTCAGGTGGGATAAGTTTTGATGGGGACAAGGAGGGAAGAGTTGAATCTCTGTATTCATTCAGAGTGAGGGTAGCTGCATCTTTTCTCTCTTTAAAAAAAAATGACTAATTCTAGCCTTCTGTAAAACCTGGTGGAAGTCTGAGGCAAACTGGGACTATTGGTCCCCTTAGGGCTAACACTTCGCTAGGTACATTACAAACATTGACTAGAACTCTTGACATAAGCCTATTTGCTGGAAATTATCACCGCCTCACCTACTCCTGTTGTTTAATAAATGAACAAGCAGACGCTCAGATGAATAAACAAATTTGTCCAAGCCTGTTCAGCTGCAGTATTGGAGTTAAGATAATTCAAAGACTCTTCGCCTGTTTAATTCTTAATCCCCCATCCCTCCGAATTAGGGCCTGTATTTAATACCCCTCTCCTGCTTGTTAGTCTACATCTTCATTTTAATTTCCAGTTTTTTTCCTTTCTTTTTTTACTCTGCCCAGCTTTTGCACTACTCATAGGCATTTTCTAGTTCTCATTAAAGCAAGTCTATGCTCAAAGTATCATTTATCCCTTTTCTAACTCAATGTTGTCCAATTGAACATTCTGGAGTGATAGAATGTTCTCTCTCTGTGTTGTCTAATATGGTATCCATAAGCCACAGGTGGCCATTGAGTACTTGAAATGTGCCTGGTGCAGACAAGAAGCTGAATTTTTAGTTTAATTTTAATTAATACATTTAAATAGCCACTTGTGACAATATGGTGCTACCATATTGGACACGGTAAATCTAACTCATTGATTTGTTAGTTGCAAATGTGAGCACTTGTCACTGAAGTAAAGTTGGATTTGTTGGCATTGTGCTTACACTATAAGCTCATTTAGGGTTATTGTTTGCTTATCTTGACTTTGCATGCTTGTTGTCTCATTAGTATTCCTTCTTTGTTCTCATCACAGTTTTGGTGGTTTGGGGGATTTTGGTCTCTTGCAGGTTCAGAGAAATGAGGACAAATCTACCACCTTGAAATTGGCCGATTTTGGACTTGCAAAGCATGTGGTGAGACCTATATTTACTGTATGTGGTACTCCGACTTACGTAGCTCCCGAGATTCTTTCTGAAAAGGGTAAGTGTTACACATTGCTCTGTGGGATTCTAGCTCACTTACTATCAAATGTTTTATTTTTAATATTTAATAATTTGCAATATGGAACAGTGAGAAATTTCCGAGAGTTGGCACTAAGGCTTGGGCTTGGCCTTTAATGAAAATATTTGAAGCAAGCTTCCTCCACCAAAGCATGGGAGCTGTTTCCTCAACAGGGCTGCCCTTGTCACAGAAGACAGTTTGGCACATGTGTGTGTATGTGCGTGTATGTCTTTGTGCATGTGTGTGTGTGTGTGTGTGGGCAGGATAGTGAGATGAAAGATGTTAGAGAATTGGGCAAGGAACTCAAGCAAGCAAGGCCCTTTGTGCCACTGACCCAAGGCAACCTCAGATGGGAGAAGATTGAAGCAGTCCTTATGGTACTTGGTTTAAAAATTTGTTCACCAACCTTGCATTTAAAAGGGATCCCATTTCAAAATTCATGAATATTTATTACCTATTTGTATATTGTGTGAGGATACAATGAGCTGTTTTAGTGACATATTCTGTAAAATATATAGAAAGGAAATATTAATTATTTTATGGCTCAATATATAGGAATATTTGACTGCTGTGACACTCCAGGAGAAATCAGTTTACCCACCCTAGATAACATAGGAAAGCTTTGGGTTGTAGGGTTGGTGGTTAGGAGGAAGGCAGGGACAGTTTCCTGGCAGCAGAAGAATCAAGAAAACTAAGATGAGGAGATGAGAACATATGAGATCATGCATGAGGTCAGGTGGTAGAAACATTGAGAAGACTAGTCTCAGTGAACCAGAGAGAAACGCAAGTTGGTTGGTTAGATTGAGCCTAGCTAGATTCCTCACAAATGGGAAGGCTGGGCAGAGGAGTTCAGACTTGGTGTGGCCAGCATAATTCAGAGGGACTGTGCACATTTAAATGGAAGCATTGAGGAGCTGGATAAGAGAAGAAGGAAAGCAAGTAGGCAACATGAACTCTTGGGGAGAGCACACATTGGTGATAGCACCAGCTAAAATAGGGTGTTGGAAAGGAAAGCTCTTTTGGGAGGTGGAGGATGGGGTGAGTTAACTTTTGAACTTCATAGAGATATCAGGATAGATACACGCAGTTGTCCATTTGGCAAGGAGGTGAAGCCCTGGGCTGAGCATGTAATTTTGAGACTGCACAACAGAGCTGGTGGCTGACCTGGCGAGGTAATAAGCTCCTTCGTGGTGCCAGCAAAGGCAGCTGAGGACAGATTCTTGAAGGAGGCCAAGAGTTTGGGGATGAAAGAGGAAGGGGCAGGATCAGAAGAGGACAGGGCAGCCCAGAGGGAGGATTTGGAAAATGCAGTGTCCAAGAGGCCAAGGGGACAATTTCAAGAGGATGGGGAAGGCCCAGCAAAAATCAGTCCTTCCCAAGAGTGAAAGAGGGTTGAAAACTGAGAATAGGCCATTAACATTGGCCAAAAGGGGTCATTACTGACTTATTCTTTTAATATTGTCCTACTGATTTATGTTTTGACAAACTTACTTGGGAGCTTAATAATGAATATCCAACTTCTAAATTAAAGCTGCCAAATGTTTTCCTTTTCTAAAGATCAAATGTTAGAAAGTATTTAAAAATGTATATATTGCTATTAGAACTTTTGAGAGGATGATTGGGTAATATGTATCAAAAACTTTTCCCATATATTACTTTGTGCATTTCATTTCTAGAAAGTTATTTTAAGAATATAATCAGTGGTGTGCACAAATATTTAATATATAGGGATGTTCATCAGAAAATTCCTCACAGTTGTTAAAAAATTAGAAACATAAATTACAACACAGGATTCAATATATAAAGAGAATATTAACAGCTATTAGAAATCTTGTCTGTGAGGAATTTCTTTTACATTAAATAGGCTATAAAATATATACAATGTGATCTTAACTTTGTTTAAAAAAGTATAATTATTTCTGTGTGTGTATGTGTGCACGCACTCACATGTGTGCATACAGAGGGGATACAGCAAGTAAACATCAGTCTTTTAATAATCATTTAATAATCAATTAAAATTAATAATTAATAATCAATTAAAAAGCTAGTAATTGATATTTTTTAAATAAGAGAGAAAGCAACGAATAGATAGGAAACAGAAACTGCTGCTGTAGACCAGAGCTTCTCAAACTATCTCTGGTGAAGGGCCAGGTTTTAAAATTTCTAGTTCAGTGTGGACCTATACATGGTCCTGCTGCATGTGACTAGAATGTACCTTGTCACACATGTGACTCACTGCAGATGTTTGACAATGCCTGAACTGATCTGTGCCCTCTTCAACGAGATGTGTCCACTGATCATGGTTTGAGTGTCATAGTCATGACAAATTGCTACAAGAGTTTCCAAACACTTGCTTTCAATATCTGTGCTTATTTTTATCACAGACCAGTAATGAAAGATCACAAAGTGGCAAACTTTGAGTAACATCGGTGTAGACCCCTTGTTTTTAGGAGTTGGCTGCAAGGCAAGCTGTGCTTTGCCAGTGAAGGCTGCTCACATGTTTGGAAGCAGCTCTTTGTTTCTAAGAGCTGAGGTTGTCTGTGACTTAGATCTATTTAAAACCACAGTGCTCCATCATTTATTTCATCACATTTGACCCTGCTTGGTTGCAGGCTCACTTGTATCTCTGCCTCTGTTTGTGCAGGTTACGGACTGGAGGTGGACATGTGGGCTGCGGGCGTCATCCTCTACATCCTACTGTGCGGCTTCCCCCCCTTCCGCAGCCCAGAGAGGGACCAGGATGAGCTCTTTAACATCATCCAGCTGGGCCACTTCGAGTTCCTCGCCCCGTACTGGGACAATATCTCTGATGGTGAGATTTGGGGTTCCCCATGCAGGAGAGGAGGGGGCAGGTTTTTCAGGTTGGCTGTGTAATGGGGTATGCAGGGGACACCCCCCCACAGTGCCTGGCATGGAATTAGGCTGTCAACGTGTCATCCCTTATCCTTTACTTCCTCAGTAGCTTCACGTGGGTTTGTGCAACCTCCAAAAACATGACTTGCTTTGAGATTTAGTAAAAAAAAAAAGTCTAACCACCAGTTTGTAGTCACCAAGTGCTTTTCCTTAAGGCAATTAAGGAACCCAAGAACTGAAAAATATCAGAAACATTATAACTCTTATTTGGAAAGAGAAAGGCTTCTTATATACAGAAGTGATCTGAATGGAACAGACTGAAAACGCTTATTTTTCATACATATAATCAGAGGTCCCGTAGGGGCATACTTGGAGCACAGGGGCTCTGCAGGGTTGAGGTGAAGGTCTCAGTTACTTTTTAGTGACCTAGAAGCATGCATGATTCTCTTCCCTTTTGGTTCTCAATTCCATTTGATTCCAAATGAAATCTCTCCCTTTGTCTCTACTGATTTGTTTGTACTACTCAGTGCCCTTGGACAATTGAGAACTAGATAATTGGGGATTTTGGAGTCTTTGAGTCCTTAGCTTAAAAAAGTAGAATAGGAGTGATAACTTTTTTTTTTTTAACTTCCCCTAAGCATGCCATTTAAGAGTAGCTATTGAACTGCCTCCATCCCCAGCTTCTATCTCCTCCCTGGGATTGGGGGATGTGGGAAGGAAAAAATTTTTCCCTCTCTTAAATAAGGTAGTAAGTGGGTGGCTTGTCACACGTAGAGTCAGGGTCTTGAGCTGATCAAGGCAGCGGCAACTGAGGAACTGAAGGACTAAAAGTCATTTTAGAAAATTCTAAGCTGGGTGTGGTGGCTCATGACTGTAATCCCAACACTTTTGGAGGCCACAGTGGGAGAATCACTTGAGGCCAGGAGTTCGAGACCATCCTGGGCAACGTAGTGAGACCCTGTCTCTACAAAAAAAAAAATTAGCCAGGCATGGTAGCACATGGCCTATAGCCTCAGCTACTCTGGAGGCTGAGGCAGGAGGCTCTCTTCAGCCCAGGAGTTTGAGATTGCAGTGAGCTATGATGGTGCCACTGTACTCCAGCCTGGGTGACAGAGAGAGACCTTAGCAGAAAGAAAAAACAGGAAGGAAGTTTTATGTGGCACTGTCTTTAGATTTGGGCATAGGTGGCCTTTCCTTGGCCCCAGGCCTTAGAGGGTTCTGCTTTGGTCATACTTCTCCCCACAGAGTATGGAGACTATGGGACCAAAGTGATGTGTACCTTAGAGTCCAGGTCCCCTCTTCTAGGTCACCTTATTGGGACCCCTGAATTCCCTGTCCAAATGGCCCAAGCCCATTTCCAAGCTTTGTGAGACCTCTTCCCAGCCTCTTCCCACTGTGCCAAAGGGAAGCCAAGGAGTAGCTGTTTGGAGGGTGGAGAGAGAGAGCTTGGACATGTTGGCTAGGGTATGCAGTTGTCTATATTCATACATGAGAATCTGAGAATTCTTAAATTAGCCTTCTAGCCTCTGGGTCATTTGAAACCCTGAAGGAGTGATGTTGGTCAGGGTGGGGCTGGGGCACTTTTTGGGCAGAATTTTCCCAGCTTTAATTAGATGGTGTAGGAGAACTCTGTGGCTTCCATACTTAAGAAGTGGATGGACATGGGAGTAGGGGAGGAGGTGATTGGTGGGTAAGCAGTTAATTTTGAGCAAGAGGCATCCCTTAATAAGACTAGAAAAAAAAGTGGATGTTTTCTTCTTGTACAGTTCTTGAGTGATTAAAGAACAGGCTGAATGAGCCAGGCTGGGAGAGCCAGCAAGCTAGGGAGAAACCAGTGGTCACCACAGCTCTCTAGAATCAGTCATGGTTTTGGGCAATGTAATTAATTTTGAATTTGCACTATTTACTCCTTAGATTTCTTTACACATGTTTTTCAATATTGTCAATGTGAAGTCATATTTATTAACTTAGGAAGATTAAACATATTTTATTTAGCATGTTAGTTTCCATTTAAAACCTTGAAGTGTACAGACATGTGATATGTGGCCTCCATCTGTTCTCTTGCCCTGGGTGCCATGGATGTTAGGGGTGGGCCTGGCTTCATGATTCCAGAGAAATGAAAAGACATCCTCTAGAGCAGGCGTCCTCAAACTACGGCCCGCGGGCCACATGTGGGTGATTTTGCCCATTTGTTTTTTTACATCAAAATAAGATATGTGCAGTGTGCATAGGAATTTGTTCATAGTTTTTTTAAAACTATAGTCCGGCCCTCCAACGGTCTGAGGGACAGTGAACTGGCCCCCTGTTTAAAAAGTTTGAGGACCCCTGCTCTAGAGCTGTGCTATTCCACATGGTAGCTCCTGGCCATGCATACCTATTTAAATTTAAATGTAAATTAATTCACAGTAAATAAAAGTTTAGTCCCTCAGTCTTACCGGCCAGTTTTCAAATGGTCAGTAGTCACAAGAGGGTAGTGCAGATACAGAATGCTCCCATGTTCTATTGGACTGTGCTCCTCTAAAATGTAAAAGAGCCTTGTAGCTAACCCATAGCACTAACATGGGTGTTTGTGTTCTGTTTCATGTATGGGGAAGAAAAATTCAGAGCCACCTGCATTCATCACATTTCCCCCTTCTTCTTTCACTTCAATAGCTGCCAAAGATCTGGTGAGCCATTTGCTGGTGGTGGACCCCAAAAAGCGCTACACAGCCCAACAGGTTCTTCAGCATCCCTGGATTGAAACAGGTGGCAAGGCCGGCACGGTGAACCTACAGAAGGAAGTGTCCCCCAGCAGCGAGGGCCACTTCCGGAGCCAGCACAAGAGGATTGCAGAGGAGACATTGTAGTCACCACCTCAGGCGTCTGTTCAGCCCCCAGTTCTGCTCAAGGACAGAGAAAAGTTTGACAGAAAAACAATAAAAGGAGTTTCTTCACACAATTGGAGAATCAGAGACACTCAGTATCTTTTAAAGCATATTATAAAAGTAAACTTAATTTTAATGTTAAATGTTGTAACATATTTTTAGATTTGTATATTTGAAGCCTTTAATGCATTTTTTTGGGTGGGTAAGAATTATCATCAGTGAGGAATTTTGGTAATAATGATGTGTTTTGCTTTCTCTTTGTAATCATGTTCATGTTGTACTACAGGAGTGGTGCTTACCAGGGTCTAATCACCCCCTGTGAGATTAATAAGGTGCATTGTGGTCTTTCTGTGTTAATAAAACCTGCTCTGAATAACAGAAGTGGGTCTGTAGTCTGATTACTTCTTAATGCTGGTGATGAGAGCTCAGACATGTCTCCTGAAGCCAATTTGACTAAATGGAGTTGTGATGAACACTTGATTAGTTGACAAGATTGTTTATTTAGGATGTGCTGACCTTGGTCTTTAGCATTTCAGTTTTACTAGAAATTAGATTTGGTGCAATCTGAAAAATGGAAAGAAGAAATCATTGAATCATTCTTGCACGTGCAATACCCAGTTATAGCACTTTTCAACCCAATTATCTCTGAACCCGAGTCACTTCTATGTGAAGTCAGGCACTGAGGCTATGACTGTGTTAATGTTTTCAGATCACAACGGAGCCATTTAGTACATTAATATGACAGAAATGCAGTAAACGGATTATACTGGAACTTGAAGGAGCTCAGAGTTCAGGCACATTCCTACCTGCAAGGCATACATACAGAGGGCACAGAACACATGTTCCAGATTTCTGTACCAAAATGTTGGTCTTTTCAGATGATTTGGGGAGTATGTGTGAGCCGAAAGCTAAACATATCTTGATATTTTCCAAATTGACCTTTCTAGATTATGTGTGGACTGGTTAGTAGGCCACAGAATCAGTCAAAAGTGTGGGTTTCTCACTTCTATTTTATGTTCCTTAACAGTTTTGGAATCATCCGGGTAGAGGACTGTATTAGTCAGGAGAACAGGAATAGCACGAGAGAATTTAGTATAAGGAATTGCTTAAACAGGTGTTTGAAAATAGAAAAAGCACAGAAGAGACTCTGGAATAACTTGGAGATAGTAACTTCTGGAAGTGGCTTTCATTCCTAGGAACAAAACCAAGGGAAGAGGCTATTAGAACCCAAGAGCTTGGAGAGAAACCTCATATAGTGGAGACTGTAGTGTGCCACCCAGAACCTATGTTAAGACCAAAGGGAATAAACTACTTGGGGTGGTGCTGGCTGTCAACCCTCAGCTATCAGCCCTCTGCAGGGAATACCTTAGGTGGGAAGAGTCACCTTGCAGCCCCTTCTGGGGCAGGTCCCATGTAATGATGGGTCCATGTAGGATATGAAGGCCTGACCCCTTGGCCCCGACTGGGGGAAATGCTGAAGGGCCATCCAGCTTCAGAGCTCCTTGTGGGGGTTGGCTGAACCTTGTTGAGACTGCGCCACAGCCCAGCTTCTCCCAAGACCAATCTTGCTGCTTTTCCTTCCCTTCCAGAGGTAATGGTCCTGAGACCACTCCCTAATAAACCTTTGCATGGTTTAATCTAGACCTCAGAGTTGGCTTCCTAGGGAATCAAACCCTTGGCCACTAGAAACTGGAAACCACTGCAAAGAGGTACCAGCTGGTGCTTTAACCTCAGGAGCTCAGAGGAGGGGCCCTGCAGTGCTGGGACAAAGACTCCTGAGGGGAGGGTGCTGCCCAGGAGGCAATGCAATGTTACGCATTCTGAAAATGTGGAAAGAGGCTGGAAGCTGGATCCAATTGCTACCAGAGCATCTTTTGATAAAGGCACCAGTAATTCTCATGTCACTAAATCCAAAACAGAATTTTCCATCCTCAAATTAGCATCATTTGACCCTACTGACCACTGTCATTTCTCCTGTTGACTTCTGTGATGCCACATTTTTCTGGTTTTCCTCCTGCATTCTCATCTACTCCTTTGGATCTCCTGTATAGCTTCAGCCTTCTTCCAGCCGTAAAAGTTGTAGATTCATCCTTGGTCACTAGGAAAGTGCAAATTAAAATCACAACAAAATATTACTATACACTCATTAGAACAGCTAGAATTAAATGGCTAAAATGAAAAGGCTGACTATACCAACTATTAGTGAGGATGTGGAGCAACTGGGACTCTTGTACATTGCTGAAAGGAATGTCAGATGGTTCTCACCCTATGGAGAACAGTCTGGTAGTTCCTTTAAAAGTTAAACATATACCTACCATATGATCTAGACATCCACTTATAGGTATTTATCCAGGAGAAATTAAAGCATATGTCCTACAAAGATTTCACAATATCCATAGGTGTTTTTGTAACAAATTGTGGTATATCCATATAATGTATAATATTCAGCCACAAAAAAGGAATGAACTATTGATACACGAACAGCATGGCTCCAACTAGGCTGAATGAAACTGTCAGACAAAGAAAAGGCTACATGTGATTATTCCATTTATGCATTATTCTAGAAAATACAAACTAATCTATGGGGACAGAACACAGATCAGGAGTTGCCTGGGGACAGAGAAGGGGAGCAGAGGGAGGGAGGGAGGGACTGCAAAGGAACAGAGGGTAACTCTGGGGACGATGCATATGTTCATTATCTGGAATGTAACGATGGATTCATGGGTGTATAAATGTCAAAACTTATCAAATTGTACACTTTTGATAAGTGCAATTTATTGTGTGTCAATTATACCTCAATAAATCTGTCAAATATATAGTTGCAGTTCCTCAAAGACTAGTCCTCAACTTTCTTCCTTTACACTCTCCCTTGGCGGCAGCTTCATTTACACTCACTGTTTGAAGATGATCCTCTTCTTCCCCATCTCCATTTGCGCCTCCATCCAAGGCTTCTCCTCTAGGTTCTAGACGCATCTGTCAGCTGCCTACCTGACAGGTATAAGGTACTGGAAGTTCTTGAAGGCAGAATGTACAATCAACACCTGGAGGCCTGGTCTTCCTCCTTTGCTTCCTATCTCATGGAATGGGATTGTTGAGCAAATTCAAAACACAGGCATCCACCCTGTCTCTGATTCTTGAATCCAGTCCATCTCCATGGATTTTACCTCCCCAACATTGTTTGGCTCTATCCATTTAACTTCCTTAGCTTCTTTCCTGATGTATATTTAGGCTGTTTCTCACCAATTCTTTATTATTACAAATATTATTACAAACATGCTTGTATGTATGATCTTATATATATTCCTTGTGCATATTTGGGAGACTTTCTTTTTTTAGAGAGAGAAATATTCAACGGGACCAGATATTGGCAAATTGATTTTGAGTTATTTTATCCTCCCATATTGAGTGATGAAAGTTTCTTCTTTTCTCATGATTTTGCACATGGTTTTGTTTTTTAATTATTCAAATGTTACTATCTGAGAAGTAACAACATAGAAGTTGTATTCTAAGCTTTGAAAGTTGTGTAGCTCTTGGAGTGAATTTCTACGTGTATCTCATGTCCACCTCACAGCAATGGCACTAAGAGGTGTGATTCTCAGCTTCACTTTACAGAGGGGTAGAATGAGTCTCAGAGAAGTCACCTGACTTGCTCATCATTGCTTGGTTTACCAAGAATGTCAGCTGCTAGTTATGGAGCCTGGTACAGAGTGGCACCATCACTTCATTTCCCAGCCTCTGCTCTGTGTCTGATTCTGTAATGCCAGATCCCAAATGTCTGTGGATGAGTGATACCAAAAAGACTCCTTTCTGCAACAGAGGTATTTATCCAGAGGCCCCTTTAACTTGGAGCCTAGTCCTTCCATTTCATGAGAGCCGAAAGACTATGTTAGAGTCCAGTGGCCAGTACTATGAGGCCTGGGACATCTCATGCAGCCCGTGTGCCTGTAGATTGGTTGGGAATTGATGGTGGGTGTAGAGGTGGCATAAAAACCATGGTTGGTCTTTCCAGGGGAGATACTTCCAAGGAAGCAGCCCCAGGGGTGACTATCAAGGGACTTGTGTTCTTTCTCTAGGGCTTGGCTCTAGCTTCTCCTGAGTTGGGCAATCATGAGGCAATTGCTTGTATTCCTTACCTGTTGCAGGTAGTAGGGGAGTTTATGATCCTTTCTCCCCCTGAAAACTTGTAACCCTGATGTGGGAGATACTGTGGTTGCCCTATAGATCCCTAAAGTACCTGCTCTTCTGGTCTTGTCTTTGGCCAAATTGAGTCTCCTCACTCAAAGTCATGACCTTCTCTGGGGCAGCTCACATCCAATGAATGGCCAATGTGAGTTACAAAGGCCATTCTCCTTGTTCAATTCAAGAAAGCTCTGCAGAGCCACCCCTATCTCCCTGTGGGACCAGATGAGGCCTCTGCTTCAACCACATCACATTTAGTTCCTTCTGCTCAGTCTTACATCATTACACCCCCTTCTCCAACAGGTGTTGATACGAAGAATACTCTCCAGTAGACTTCCTGCATGCAGATCTCTCTTTCAGTATCTGCCTCCCAGGAAACCAGCTGGTGCATTTCTCACATCCAGTTAGTATGAGCAGGAGGCAACTGTGCCCGGGAACCTTCTCTAGCCCTTTTTGACTGGGCCCCTCCATGTCTAGAGTGGACCTGCCTGATGCTTTGCTTCCCAGACTGAGGCTAATCCCAGAGGACCAGAGCACAGAAGTCTCTGGTTCCAGGGCTCTCTAAATGCATGAACCCTGGTGGCTTCGAGGAAGCCTATGGTCATATAATACAAGTTATCAGCAAACTCAAAGAGGGGTTGCACAATTAATTCTGGTTTCCTTTATTCAAAGGGGGAGATTAGTGTGTCAGTAAGAAGGCCTGGGTATGTGTGAGTAACTTGGATCCATTCCTGTAGCTGTGGCTAGCAGTGAAGGGAAGCTCACACAGGCAGTGCTGGATGCTTCTGGCCAGAGTGGGAGGCAGCTAAGCCTGCCTGGGACAATTGTGGGGACATGATGTTCCCCTAAGCAGATCTTCAGATAAGGACTTAGGTGGATGGTTTATTCAGAAGGCAAGCCCGGGAAGTGTGGTGAGGGAGTGGGAAGTAAGTTCAAGAAGGGAGGAAAGTCAAGAAAGGGTGCATTCATGCATGAGGACTGCTGGGTGATGAGCTCACATCCACTAGGAGCCCTCTGAGAAACTGTAGAATGTACCTCACAATTGTCCCACTATTGGGCAAGAGGGTCAGGGTTTTATCCACCAACTTCTATTCTTAGTAGTTTGAGAGATTCTCCTGGTGTGTTAAAACCCTGCCACTTCTGACCTGTTTTGAGCTAAGCAGGCTTGAATACCTGGGGTATGCTTTCAGGGAGAGTCACTGGAAGCTGTGGGAACCTGAAGCAGATATCTACAGGTAACCTCAGGGGTAGCTGATGGGATATTATGGGGTGCTGCTGCACATGGGTAACCTAGGATTCAGGAAGTCCACTTAGGATTCAGGTCCACTCTAGATATGGAGTGGCCCAGTCAAAAAGGGCTGGAGAAGGTCCCAGGGCACAGTTGCCTCCTGCTCGTACTAACTGGATGTGAGAAATGCACCGGCTGGTTTCCTGGGAAGCAGATACTGAAAGAGAGATCTGCATGCAGGAAGTCCACTGGAGAGTATTGTCCATATCAACACCTGTTGGAGAAGGGGGTGTAATGATGTAAGACTGAGCAGAAGGAGCTAAATGTGATATAGTTGAAGCAGAGGCCTCATCTGGACTTCCTGAATCCTAGGTTACCCCTGTGCAGCAGGGAGTAAATGGCAAAGCCAAGATCTGAACCCATAATGATCGAAGACCATGGGTCTTCCTTCCATGCCACCCTGCCTAGGAAACCTGGAAAAGCTTAACTCTCCCCTTTTTTGTATCTTGATCCTAAATTTTATGATGCTACTTTTGGTTGTAGTGTAGGAACCCCTGGCCTTTCTTCTAATGGCAAATACTAATGGCTGAGTTTCTATGAGATAGAATCTCCACTGATGGTTTTCCTTCATGGGATGGAAACTTTTTCACATTTTAGCATTTCTTCAATTGGAATGCATTTTTACAAATAATGAATACTTAATATCCTTTCCTTTTCCCCTTGAAAACTCTTACTAAACCTAGGGTATATCTTACAGTGATGGTATCTTAGAATTTGGAAATAAATTGCAGTGAAAACCTTGTAATTGTTTTCCAGAAACCATTGGTACTTGAGATAAATAGTGTAAATTTCTCTTTCCCTTGGGTTGTATTCTTTGTTTTACACAGATCCTGTAAAATACATCAGGTATTTATTTTGTTGTTAATAGTATATTGTTATTCTCCCTATCTTCCTGGTAGAATCTTGGAATCGAATAATATAAGAACATAAAGATATATCTAGATTTGTTCTGACAAGTTTCATATCACTGAATATACTTGAAGAAGAAAATTTGACCTTAAGAAAAATTACATTGGGAAATCCAGCTACTGTCATAAAAACCATTCAACATAGAGAAAATGATGCATCTTTTATCGTGGTATCTGTGTAATTTATGTCAACAGAAAGCCAATAACTTCATCATGATCTGAAAGTAAATTTCACTTGAGAGATCTTGGGCTCGCTCTTAATCTGATAGAAGGAAGCATGTTGTATACATTCTCAGTTTCAACTTCCCAAAAGAACTCTGGTGGGAGGTGAGGGTAGAGGAAGACAGATGGCTCTCAGATTGCTCTCATTTCCTGTCAGTCATCCCTAGAGGCTCCCAGGCAACTGACAGTGAGAGATTTATGCAGGAACATCACGGAGGTAACTCTAGAAACAGAAAGTATGATTTTAATACGAATTATTCCTAAAACTAGGATGTCATTTTAAATTGACATGTTTAAATTGACATTTTTTCCCAGCAAATATAGATTCATCCAGTCTTAAGGCAAATTGCTTCATTAACCATTTGA